ATTTAGCGGCTAGTAAATGCTGTAGCAGGATTCAAGCAGGGCCTTGTCAGACTTCAAGGGCATGTTTTCTCTACTAATTCCGGTACCACCCTGTTGTACCTGGAATGGTGAAGGGGGTCAGTTTTGGAGCCTTTCAGAAAAAGTGCGATTTATGTGCCTCAGGACTGTTTCACAAAGCTCAGTGTTCTTTGATGGTTCGGAAGAACCGCAGTGCTTTTCGGCCCACAGAGGTAAGGTCTTACTCCTCTGACAATGACGTGGTTGCAAATGATGTACAGGTGCAAAACCAGACTTAGCAGCTTCTGAAGGGAAACTCTCCAGTTCTCCCTTGATAGGCTTTCTTCCACGGGATGTAACTGTGCTGCAGATTAGGCCTGAGCTTTCTATATGGAGTGAGGGTTTCTTATCCAAAGTTAGCATAAAACGGTCAGATGAAGAAAATCGACGTTGAGAATTTATTTTTGGGTTTCACTAGACAAGATATACTATCAGTTCATGGCCCATGTAGCGAATGAAATTGAGTAGAGAACATTGCATTTCTTACTTTCTATTTAGAGTTCTCTTACAACATAAAGTTGCCTGCTTTGGAACATCAGCTCCACCACCAGGGCGCCTGTCAGTGTGTTGGCGTGATTGCATTTACACAGTGAATGTAATCTGGGCTTCCTCAGCCGCAAACACTCCAGTGCAGAATCACGGGCTGTAGCCATCTCTTAGTCACGCAAATACTTCTAAAATTATATGATGCCAGAAAAGAAAGAAGAGAGAGAGAGATTGCCTTTATCAAAGTTCCTTTCAATTCTAACTGCAAACTGTTTTTGAGCAGCTCTGGTTTCCTTTGAATATGAATATATACATTTCTTTGCATGTAACCTGGGTTTTGGACTAGAACACCAAGCTCTTGCTGTCCACAAGCCACAAAAATTGTAGCCAAATTGCACTCTTGTGAAATATTTTATTCTTTTTTTCTGAGAAAGTATCCTTGAATTTGGGACTTGGGCTGTGATTTATGCTTTTTGCTTTTCCCAGCCCTCTTGTAATCTCTCACTCCTTCCCACATGGCCCCCAAGAGGTCGTGGTCTCAAAGGAGTGGGCAAACACCCAGTTGGTCACCATGCAGTGCTGCTGTAGAGGGAGCCCAGCCAAGACCTAAAGGACATTATCAGAGAGGACTTCCTGGAAGAAATGGGCTGTACATTCAGTTGTGTGGACATAGTAAGTGTCAGCCAGGAGAAGGCATCAAGAGGATGGCTCACGTGGCAGGTGCAGCCTGGGCAGAGGCCTGGAGGCTTGTGGGGTGGGGACTCTGGGAGAGTGCCTTGTG